GTTCTTTAAATCTTATAAGAAGAAAACTATGCAATAAAATGACATTAGAACTAGCAACTGCTTGTAAACCTTGTCTTGACTTTAGCTACCCCAGTAAGACTTGCCACACTGTAGTGTCTATAAATGAGGAAATCAGACATCTGGCCTAGTAGAAATCTCTTTACTTAACTGGGCATGTGTGAGGTGAGAGTGGGTTTTATAGCCACTAGATGTGATTAATGTGCCCTTCCAAAAAAACATTGGAGGATAATGATCAGACCACCTGAATATGATTAATTAAATCCTGACTACATTCATTCCTTTTTGCCAAGAGTTTCCTTTATCTGAGGGAAATCACCCCAGAAGCAAAGACCAACATAGGTAAAATTTCTTGGACGAAATAAAAAGCCTCTTTCACCATATTTTAGAGGGAAAGTTTCATTGTAGTGCTGACAGTATGATATAAGAGTTGGCCTGAAATCAAGGGCACTGTCTATGCATCACTGTATTTAAACACTTCAACATTGTTTAGCACCTGGTAGATACTTGATAAATATACTCAAGAAAGAACTATATTTCTCCTAACAATCATGCTGAATTTTAATAACACCTTATGCTCTGAATTCTTACATGAAAGCCACAAAATATAAACAAAATGTAGGTATTGCTTATGGTTTCTTTTGAGCTCTTTCCTTAGTTTTGTCTGTATTTTTAAGCTCCTCTCAATCCATCAAAAGTTATCTCTTATACAATTACAGAAAATCATCACCAGCCCCAATCTCTGTTTTCATTCCCAACGAAAGGACTACTTCCCAACCTGAGCATCTTACAGTGAAAACCATCAGCTGTACATTAGTATTTTTATGCAGAACAGTCTTTTTAGTGAACAGCAATTGAATATCAATAAACCCCAATAGAGTATACTAGAGTATATGTTATTTGAAGAAAGTCTTAAATACTTTTTAAAAGGCAGGAAAACATGACAAATATTTACTTCAAAACATTGTTATTAAAATTGTGTGAAACGGGAGGTTATAACATACGTGAAACAAGAACAGGATGCTATCAATAGGAAAAATAGAGAAAAGACAGACAGTAGGTTTCACATTTAATTAATAAATATATGTTTGACACAGCAATGAATAGAAAAGAGAAAAATTTTCATTTTGTTTTGGTTAAGAGATTTTATATGTGATTGAGATTGCTCATGAAGAGTATAAACTAGGGGGAAAAAAACGTTCCAAACCAAAGCATAGGATGGAAATATTTCTGAACACTGAGATAAGGAAACGGGACATTCTATTGCATAGAGAAACAGAAAGAAAAAAGATGAGTGATTACATACAAAACTATAGTGATCATAACCTCATTGGACTTCTCAAGAAAAACACACAGGAAGGTAAATTACGTTAAAGTGACAATTTCAATATTCTCATGAAAAAAAATTTTTTACACCACAATTCTTGAACTTAAGTTCTAGATAGAATAATAGCATTTTGGCTTGAAATGTGCTCCAGGCTCTTTAAGCAGAAAGCAAGAGAAAAACATTTTCCTTCTTAGAAGGACTAACCAATAAAGAAACAGGGGACAGAAGATGGTGGATACAACATCAAATAAAAGCAAGACAAAATCAGAATGAAATGTTTGGAACAGACCTAAATAGTGTGCAGACCAGTGGAGATTTGAAACCTCCAGGAAGACTATAGAGAGAAGGACATTTAATCACTATAGTGTTAAAAATTAAATTTAGAGTATTTTGCCATAGTGATGTCAAGAATTTATGACAGGGTAGACTAACATAATTATGGAAAAACTTGTTGATCATTAATTCAAAAGAACAAATATAGTACAAGAAAAGATAAATGTTATCATAAAAGTATAATATACAGCTTGCAATTCATAATACTTACAAGGTTATAATAACTAAATTCCAAATATTAGTGTAACTGATATTTCTATAGTGAGTACACTAAAAAGAGGAGGGGAGACAAACTAAAAACAAGAAAGCAAGAAAGGGAAGAATATGTAAGTGGGCCAAATTATTATTTTGTGAAATAGAAAGTCAATATATATGATTGATAAATTAATAAATAATAGAATAAACATATGTTCATACATAAAGAAATAAATTCCAGAGAAAGCATAAAGTAGACTTGCAGAAATATTCAAAGTTGAAGAGTGAGTGAGGAGTGAGTGAGTGTGTGTGTGTGTGTGTGTGTGTTTGTGTGTATATTGGGAAACCTATGTGATATGATGTTTCTGTATTTCATTATGGTTTGCAATATTTATGATTTATGATAGAAATTTTATGCATACATTCTATTTTCATATTTATTTTGATAAACATTCAAAAATTATTTGGAGAAAATCATGTCATTTTTGGTTATTTTTTGAATAACAGTTAAATTTTGGATAGCAGATATCTGAAATCTATCCAACCTTAGAATTTAATGACATACTAGACTTTCATTTCTCTGCCTTCAGGATCTTGAGGTAAAATTCCTGGGGAGTATTCTTTTTGTGTTGGTATCTAGACTATGCTTCAGATTTTTAGTGTTATTTTAGACTGTGCATAAAATTCTAAGTTTTAGAATTAGTAGTATCCATTTAACTCAATTTTTTTATGAATAGAAAATATTGCAAACAACAAGTATAATGAATACTTCATGAAATATGGTAAACTTTTGAAAATTAGGATATACTGATCATAACTTAGTCAAAAGGGCACTTTAAAAAATAATTAAAAATTTTTATTTAATATTTTTATTTTGACATTTATGTGGTGCTGAGGATCGAACCCAGTGCCTCATGCATGCAAGACGAGCACTCTACCACCGATCCACAACCCCAGGTCCTAATTTTTTTTTAACTATAACATATCTAAGCTTATTTACTAAAAAACCAAAATGCTTAAAGATTGAAGAAGGTTTTTTTTTGGCAATATGTCTCAAAAAGTGACCAATGTATAAGAAAACACCCTTTATTTGTTCTCCTTGCTGTTTGTAAGTGAATTATATTTCTTGCCCAACTAAAAATCTGTATAACATATCTTAAAAATTAAATTTCAAAAGACAGTAAAAAGCCTCTCTCACTACCGAGGGGTTATGGTAACCAAATACTTTCAAGTTGAATCGTAACTACCTGAAAATAATGTTGAGGAGGTGGAGTGTGGAATGTAATCAGGTGTATAGACATTAGTTCAGAAGTGATATATTTAACAATGATGAAATATAATGAGGTTTATTAGAAATAATGTCCTGGAAGTAAGAGCCCCAGAATGAAATAAAGAAGGCCTCACCATGAGCAGCAAACCATTTATTTCATGTTCTCTGGAAGGAGGGAGTCAGTTTCAGAAAGGGCCTCTGGAACAATCCTCATCCTTGGTTTGGACTGTCTCTTCTGTATTGTGATTTTTCTTCTGAGTTTGGATGTTGTTTTCTTATCAATAATGGAATTTTAGCTTTTGCCTCAACTTAATACTGTACTTATAAGCCCTCAGGTCAGTTGTGACTAGTTTACACCATCACATAAATGTTTCTCAGGTTCCTAAATCAATTCCTCCAGAGGAACTGCCTCTGGACAAATTCAATCTTTTGGGTTGATAGCTATTTTCAAAACAATTTAGAAGTTGCCCCATAACTCTTGACATGTTTAGGGATCTCTTGCAGTTCTCATCATGTCTTTAGGGAAGGTAGGGTAAATATTTCATAATATAGGCACATTATTGGTAAGTCTAATTGCTTGGGTAATGACATTAAACCCTCTTAATTTCCTTCTAAAGGCAGTCAATGCTGCTATAATGCAAAGCTTTTCTATTCCAAAGCTTGTGGTGGTTGCAGAAAAATAGCAGTGAGTATTTCTTTAAAGAGAAGAGCTATCCTTGTGGGTTTTCAGTGCTAATGTTCAGTGACCACTAATTTCCTATCTTATCAGGCAAAACTGTATTTTATTCATTATAGAGCGAAGCACATTTGAAACTCTTACAGAGATGACTGCATAAAATTTAGGGGCAAACTGATACTTGTCTGAGCTCTGCGTGACAAAAATTTACATGCATACTTGGAACAATTTTATTTTTACTATTCAATTCCTTTAATAAATTATGAGGGATTTCCCCTGGCTTTGTCATTTGGGCCTCCAAGCTGCTTACTATCCACAGGGAATATTATCAGAGATTACTCAGTACTCAGAGTGATTGAAAAGAGAGGCCTGCACTCTGGTACATATTCATAAAGCACAACCTTAACTCTTGAACTGTAATAGAAACTGCATTAGGTCTCTTTCCATCATGGTATCCCATTCCACTACAGGATGCTTGTTACATACTGCAAAATAAGTTTCTCTAGAAACCCCTGTAGGACTTTGATGCTATACTTGTTCATGTCCTAGAGTAACAACCACAAATAGACATCTTATCATGTTGTGCATAAAATCAGGAGGTTCTTTTACTGGCACAGCAAAGTAATTTAAAAATCACAATCTCTTGTGCCTTATAAAAATCACATGGTAGCTGCAAGCAGTGAAAAATTTTATTAAGGGACATTCATAGACATACATATATCTATATGCATTTATGTGCATAAAAGCATATAATCATGTGTGTATACATACCTATACCTGATGTATATGAAAATATATATAATATATGTGTGTGTGTGTGTGTGTATACACACACACATATACATATAGCTGCATGTATTCACTAACAAATGAAACAAAGTAGATGAGTAATAAAATGTAGAGGGATGTCATATCTCAAATAGATTTTGAGAAACAACAAATTTTACATTTTGATGAAGGACAAAATCATAAAGCTATATGAATAAAGTAGACAAATTAATATTTCAAAAAAATGTAGACATCAAAATTTTCACTAGAAAGAAAATTTTAATTGGTTGTTGAGTATCACAAGTGATGAGTAATTGTTCATATATGGCTTGGGATTTAGAGTTAACAAAAATATTTTAAAACCAAGGCAATGTAGAGTATAAATAGCAATTTGGAATTTAAAAGAGTTTTACCAAAGACAGTCAGCTCTGCTGGATCACTGTCTCTTTCTCCCACCATATTGGTACCAACACAGGTGTACATTCCTGCATCACTTTTTCTGGTATTGGAGATCATCAATTTTCCACCACGAATCTGTTAATATCAAATGAAAAATTTTCTTTTAAAAAAGGAAAGGAAAAGAAACAGGAAAGGAAAGAAAAGGACATTAATAATTTGGAATACTTAAGCCCATTTGCTTTCAAAAGAAAAAACTGCATCTAAGACAAAACTCTTACACAAAACTCTCCCACTATTTTGGCATCTGCCCATTGGGCTTCTTAATTCAACTTTAGTATAACTTTCTATATTTCCTTCCTAGAGAATGCATCTTTGAAGCAGTCTTTCTCTGTTTTGCCTGGTCATATTTTGCATCTTGTGACTGTGACTGTCCCCACTAAATCTGCAGGGGTCTTTCTTCACACTGAGTTCAGCTAAATGAATTGCTCTTGTCATCAAAAAATAACATTAGATATCTGTTTTGGATAATATAATAAAACCTAGCTGATTTAAAAGGATGCATCAAGTATTCATTGAGTACTACAAGTACTGGGGAGTGTTCTAGGCATTTGGAATACAACAGTAAGCTAAACAGTCAAAATCTGTTTCTTTGTGAACCTTACATTTCAACTACTAGTGTTAATCATCTTTGGAAATATTTTTTTTGGAAATAATTTTTAACAAAAAGGGTATGTTGAGCAAAAGTAATTAAAACTTATAAAATAATGTGTATGGATTAGTACAAATTATTGATATCTAATAAGTGGTTGCTAAATACTTCTTAAAAGAGAAGCATGTGTTGACCCCAAAAATGCAATAATAATAAAAAGTCTACTAAAGAGAACATTAACTCAAAGTTAGAATTTTAGTAAGTATATTGTCACATTATTTTTTCTCATTTTCCCTTTCTTTGTATGAATATAATTCAACAATCTTAACTTTACATGATTGAGTGTTCTTAAAGGAAATAAAACATTCAAACATTCTGATTTCTTCCATTATTTTTAAATTTTTCATGGTAAACAAAACTCATTTAGGTTTGTTCATCAGAAATAGTTTAAGCTCCAAAATTTGTCATGTCATAAAGATTTTCAACTTTTTTTTTTTTTACACGAGAAGAAAAGCCATCACTCTGTCCTCAATTGTATTGAGTATGTCATAATGGGAGCCTATAAAGCCTTTCTCTTTCCCTTGAAACAGGGCTTGTCAATATGACTATTTCACCAATGGTAATAAAGCAAATGCTTCATCAGAAAAAAAAAGTTGCTTGCACATTGGGTTTGCCTTCTCTTGCTACAACTGGAAACCTAAGACCATGAAACCAGACTAAGGTAGCCTGTTAAAATATGAGAGACCATAAAAAGTGAGGTTCTAGCTGAAAGTCAGCTAATTTCCAGACCTAAGCAAGGTCATCCTAGATTATTCAGCTGCCAGTTCACCTTTAAGCAGGCCAGGGAAGGATACGAAAATCTGGCAGAGATAAATCATGCTGTCTTTGATCAGGAATATCAACTTTTGCATGGAATCATGGTCTAAAAATGGATTTTATAAGTCAAAAATTTCAGGGAGATTTTTTTACAGAGAAAAAGCACATTTTCAAAAGTTTGGTACCCAAATACAGACCATTAAGAACCAAAGTCTCTTTGGCAACATAGATACTCAAGATGTAAACAACAAAATCAGAAATATTCCACTTTATATTTCTGTCTCTTACATGGCCTATCACTTCTGTGCTGCAATGTAATTTCAATGTGTACATACAAGAATAAAAGTATATTTAAAGATAATAAATACATTTTAATTTTTTTTATACTAGGGATTGAACCCAGGAGCACTTAGCCACTGAGCCACATGCCTTTTATCTATCTATCTATCTATCTTTCTATTTATTTATTTATTTTTGTTTTGAGACAGAGTCTCACTAAATTTTTTAGGGCCTCCCTGAGTTTCTAAGGCTGGCTTTGAACTTGAGATCCTTCTTTCTCAGCCTACTGAGCTGCTAGGATTACAGGCATGCACCACCATGCCCAATTATTTATTAATTTATTTATATTGGTTCATTTACTTATTTACCTTGTATTGTGGGGGACTGAACCCATGGGTACTCTACCATCAAACTACACAACCAGACTTCTTTATGGTTTGTTCTGTTTTACTTTTCAAGACAGAGTCTCACTAAGCTACTAAGGTTGGCCTCAAACTTATGATCCTCCTGCCTCAGATTCCTGAGTCACTGGGATTATAGATATATGCCACTGTGCCTTGCAGATTATATAAACTCTTGATTGAAATGTCACATTTCTTCAGGCAATTGAAAAATTATTTTAAATAAAATGCCTTCACTGTGTTATTACTACTAAATATTACTAAATAACATAAGTGGAATTATATTCTATTTCCTTAGAATGGCTGTCACTTATAAATTTTTTCATACAAATATTGAGTGGATCCTTTAAAAATATGAATTATTAAATTTGTATATATTAATTCCCTTTGTTCTGTACCTTTACATAAAAGCATTGAATCTTAATCAACTGTTGAACCTGGTAATCAATTTATATGAACTAAACTGCAAAATCAGTCATTTAATTTTTATTTAACTTACTTATTTTAAATTTGCCTTAAAATTAACTCATTTTAAAAATTTTGCTGTTACAAATATTGAATTTGAAAAATTGGATTAAATGAGATATTCATCACCTCAGATGATTTCCTATTACAATTTTATAAATAGTACAAAATGAGATATTATTCTTAATATATGGTTTATGGCTATTGCTTATTCTAACACCCATGTTAAAACGTAAATGATGAACAGAAGACATTGAAAAGCTAAGACATCAATATCACACTTCAAATATAAATTTACATATTCAGACTGATACGATTATTAATACATCATGTATACTTGATTTCTATAATTTGTATCTTTTTGTAGTCTTATCCCTAAATTTAATTCTTTTAAGACTTTTTGATGTGGCATAAATGTTAGTCAGCATTTGAGTACAATTTTATTAAAAATAAATTTAAAAATACATCCATTTTTAGATGTGAATTTCCATCTGTCTAAGCTGTCATTCTAATTTAACTCACACTTATTCTGTCTTCCTTGTCATCAATTCGAACTTTGTCTTTTTTCCAGTAGATGGTGGGTTCTGGGTGTCCCCGGGGAGGTTGGCACTCCAGGATTGCAGGCTCTCCAGCTGCCACTACAACATCTGTGGGGTTTTGCCGGAAGTCATCTCGCAACACTGCAGAGAAACAATTATAGTAAAAGAAAAGTCAATGATAGTAACTTCAGCTTTCACTCACAAAATGTAACTTCAAGTTTTACTTGTTCTAGTTAAAAAAAAAAAAGAAAGAAAGAAAAAAAATTCTGAATACTTACTGAGAACACAGTCACGCCCATCTTAAAATACTCTAGAGTCTACCTAAATGCTCAAGTTGGGGATGGCTTACTATCTGGTCATGCATCTTTGCTTTAAAATCCAAGCTAAAAATTGAGATGACTGACCCTAAGGACAATTATATGAGAAATATTTATGATAAAGTCTTAAGATTTAATTTAAAAAGCAAATTATATAAACCTAATGTGGCATGAGTCTAATTTTATAAAGAAAAAAAATACACACCTATTTAATAGCTATATTAAAGTAAATGTTAAAGATGTTCCAAAATGTGAAGCAATTTGTGTGCAAGTGCTTTGTGAGCATGCGTGTTGTTCTCTGAGGGGAAGTGGAGTGAGACTCTTTGAGAAAGTCCTTTCTCATGACATGAATATGGACAAGGTACACACTGTTCCCATTACACTTTGGAAGGCAGACCCATTGTTCACCCTTGCAACGCTCTAGCACCCACGTACACAAGGCTCTATTTTCATTCTCTCTGCATCTCCACCTGCCGAGTGACATCTGGGCAGCGTGACATTCAGGGCAAGAGATATCCCTTGTAGCAGTTTTGCCAGTCTAAATTTCCCTCCTTTCATTAAGGAGAACAGCAGGTTGGACCTCCGTTATAACCTCCAAAAATCTGGCACGCCTGGCTGTCCAAATGTCACCTATCTATCAGCCTGTGCTCTTCTGCTGCTGGCAAGATGAAAAGCCTGCAGCAGTGACTTGGCCCTATCAGATTGTAGAAATCTATGTTTATTTGATAAATACAGGCTGGGACTACTTTTGGACCCATTTAAAAAAAAAGTTGAAACAAGCTATTGTACTATATATTCCAACCATCTCCACCTCTCCTAGCTGCCTTCACTTTTCCTGTTCTTTGATATTTCAGTGCCAATTCAGTTTTAAATTATGTAAGGATAAAACATGTTTATATGATGTATCTATGTATACAAGCATGTACTTAGTTTATTGTATATTATTTATACAAAAAGATAAATGCATATATACACATATTTATATGTATATATATATATGTGTGTGTGTGTGTGTGTATGTAGATATGTGTGTGTATGTGTGTGTGTGTAGTGTCTGAAGTCAGCATCAGGCAACTTGTTATAGCCTGTTATGTAAATTATCTGCTGCAAATGGGGATTAGGTCAAATCAGCCACCTTCCCTGTCCTGTAATGAGACCCTCTTCAGCACTCAGTTTCTTTGTTGTGCCAAGTCTGTAAGTTAATTGCCATCTCCAAATAAATAAAAATCTCCATCCTGAAAATAGCTCCAGAGAGACAACCAAGTGACTTTCAGGGCTTTTCGGTTCTGTCTCATCCAATGTATCCTTTAAAATGGTTTTCTAGCTTAATGAAGTCATGCCCCTTTAGGAGATTAGAGAACATTATTTCCTATTGAAGGAGCACTAAGAAAGAATTCAGCACAAATTGTTCAGCCTCAGCTTATCAACTGATTAATTTACTGCTTTCGCTGCTAAGGAAATATGTTCCATTTTAGCACTGTGAACTGCATATTTTGACTAATGGGCAAGAAAGGTGTGATTGATATGCATAAGTATTTGCTGCTGAATGGGTAGAGGGAAGTGTGCAATTAAGTGTGACATTCGTGCAAGTGGTAAGAAGGGGTTAACAATGTGGTTCCCTCTTGCAGGTATATCCTCCAGGGAGAGCAAGCTGGTGACTAATTTATATTCTAAATACAGAACAGCTGCCTATTTATTCAATGTTAAGAAGTGCAAAAATATGGTAACAGAGTGATAGGCCCCCCTACAATATCCGGTACTGGCAACAAATGGTGTTTTGGCAGACCCTCAATCTGTTTGAAAATGACACATCTGGCCAGTTGAAGAGCCTTCTCCTGCACGGGTCTCCCTACAAAGGACATGCCAAAAAGTCTTAGATTAAATGATCCTATGACCATTGCAAATAATTCAAAAGTGTAGTGTTGAACTGATTTCCAACAATCCAAATTAAAAAATAAAATAAAGTAAACCCTTTAACATGGGTAACAAAATGAAGAAAAATATCATAACATACTAGAAGGACTGCTACTCTTAAACAATATAACATGTGTTTATGCATTCACCAAAAAAAAAAAAAAAGGAAAAAAAAAAAAAAAAGGAAAATGACTCCAATTTGCACATGAAGCCAAGAAATCTAACATTGACTGTAATTTTAGGCTTTCAGACTATTCACTCAGAGAGTAGGGTGAGATAATGATATAATTGGTACTGTACCCTCTTCAACTTGTAATATGCTCTTTGCGGTTTGTGTATAACTCAGCTAATTCATTTGTACCTAGTGATACCATTTCATTTTCCCTAAGTCGTCAGGTATATTTTATTTCTTCTTTCTGGATCAAATGCCATTTTTCAAGTGAATACTGAAGTGACAGGATATCACTACTGAGATTCAATTATAAATGATTGTGACTTTCCTCTTTCTAGCTCTGTCTCTTTATCTCTCTATTTTCTCCCCGATGCCTCCTCTGATCTTATACAGTGTCATGTGGCCCAATGGAGAGACACATTTGGAAAGGATCCCAGGGCAGCCTCTAGCCAACAGCCAGCAAGAAACTGAGATCCTCAGTCTGGCATCCCCTGAAACCTCAAGTTGACACCAAGTGTTGTGGAAATTTAGAGAAGTCAATAGAAAACTAATATGCTACAAATTAATGATACCCTAAAATAATAATCAAAAAAAAATAAAAATGATACCCTAAATAATTCTTTATGTCTACCGTGATTTTCAGTCTTACACCTCTGACTCTTATATCCTTACAACTCACATTCTTTCACTCACAAAGGCTTCCTCTGTCTTGAATCAAGACTTCCCTGGCTTTTATTTTTTAACCTCAGTTAAGGTAAATCATTACTCAGACATTTCCTCCTTAGTTTATTAAAATAAATTGGCAATAATAATAAGGAGAATTATACTAGAGCATACATCGGCTTCCCAGTGAAGTTATTAGAAATACAAAGGGTAAAAATGTCATTGATAAAAGTAGTTATACACAACAGGATAAAGAAAACTATTTTAAACAAACTAAATTGGTCATGAGAAAGGTAATCTAAAAAGGTATTATAAAGATGAGCCTGACTAGGAGCAGTTAAAAACCAAAGGCCACAGTGAGAACACAAACACTAGCCTCCATGCAAGCAGAATTTGTTTGTGTGCACAAGAGTATGGGAACTCCTGGCCCAGTCACATACAGATTTCTCTGGAGAACAAAACTTGAGGCCCAGGTATACACTTATCTGGTGCCTGATTCACTTTGTTAATGCAAAATTTCAGTAAATCATGACACTCAGGATACATGGGGATTTCAGTATTACATATAGATAATACATGAAATTATGTGCTGGTTTTTAAGAAGAATTTTTTTTCTTGGTGCTGAGGACAGAAACAAGGGTCTTCCTCTACTATCATTGAACTGTACACCTAGCTCTTAGAATTTTGTGTTTAAGTTAATTTGGTGATCAATTAACAGGCACATCTAAAGACACTTTTGATCTCTATGTTTAAAACAACTGTCCTGCAATTAAAACTAAAATTTGATGGCACATGCTATGTGCCAAACACAGCATCATGGATATGAGTAGGTTATTCGAACACTTGTTATACGTAAATATTTTAGGTTGAACCCAGTGTCTAACACTGAATTCTGACGACAATCAGACTAAACTGATTTGTAACATCATCTGCTTCTACTTAATTGTGTCCCCACTGTACTAGTTTAGAATGTTCATATACATTTCTTGAATATTTAACATTTTTTTCTCTAATTCCCTTTAAAATTCTTCATTGAAGCAATTATGGGTTTACTAAAATGAAAATGTAATCATATCAATTCTTTTCTCATACTCCTTAGTGCCTCTTAGGCTAAAATTCTGTCCTTAATATGATTTGATAGGTTGTTTAGAATTGGGTTCCTGTTTATATTATCCTGGTCATTACAGACCTATCTGCGATGTTCATGCAGGAATTATATAGAGAAACAACTAATTATCACTGGCAGATGATAATCTTTCTGCCTGAAAAGATTTCCCTGCTTCCTGTTTGTGCTCCTAATTTTGCTTATTCTTTTCTCAAACATATATTGATCCTTCAGTGTTAGTCTATGACTTATTCATCTGAAAATTTTGTCTTTAAACACTTACACGAAATGAAAGGAACCTTCCAAAAGGCTCCACTTTGAAGGGCAGCAGAAGAGTTAGTGAAGTCCTTTTTCATTGGTTGACCAAATTGATAAACTCCTCTTTAAGAATTATATTGCAGTACTTTCCTATTATTTAATCTAGACCATTATGTTTTGATTTAATTTTAAACTTTCATTCATAAATAACAGTTTCAGTTGGTTGGATTTAAAGGATAGAGCACTTGTCTTGACTACCTTCATGCTCTAAAATAAAAGTCACACAGTTCAAGAAAGTCAGAGAGCCATCTCATAAGGAAACTACAGATTTATGTGCAATCACCAAAACTGGTAGCACAAATTATAATACATAATAATACATATTATAATAAGCTAAAAGGAACATGTACACATTATTTTCTCAGTTCTACCACCACCACTAACAACAACGCTCAGTACAGAGAATGATCAGGTGTAATCCCAACTAGCATAAAGCTCAGACCTTCCATTCTACTTGTGAGGAAAGCACCCTGTCTTTTCTTGAACCATGTGGTCATTTTTGGTTGCCATGCTAGGAGCTCCATTTCAGGATGAAAGGGAGCTTATATACACGACGGCATGAGCTAAAATAATCTGGGTAATACAAATGGACAATTCAATTCTAAAACCTGTGTTAACTTTGGACTTTCTAGTTAGCTTCCCTTTTATATTG